GTTCAGCACACACGAGCACGTGTTTAAAGATAACGAAACTCTATCTCGAATGGGACGTTCAAAAAGGACAGATGCGCGAAGAGGCCTCTCCTAAGAAAGGAAAAGGGAGTTGATTGAATTCCAGAGAGAGATGGAAGAAGTAACAAAATTATCTCAGCAATAAATAAATCAATAATACAAGGTGCCCGAGAAAGCAAAGACTCACATGAAAATGTAATGAGGGGCATTGAGGAAAAGCAGGAGAACGATCCAGAAAATGAGAGCGAACTCAAGAAAGGAGTCAACAGGATTCGGGATAAAGTAGCAGAAATAAAAGACGGGAAGGAAATAACAGCATTTGAATTTCTGGCCTCTCTGAAGAGGAGAAACGATAATGGAATAGTAACTCATATTTAAAACTTCCACCAAGAAAACGTTTCGAAAATAACGGTGACGAGAATAACCGAATATTTAAATTTACGTCTTCAGAGAACCCACCAGGTACCTGGGGCAATTCACGATCAACTCTGAGACATTTCTTAGTAAAACTGTTAAATTTCAAAGATAGACGAAAACATCTCCAAGGTCTCTAGGCAAAAAGATCACATAACTTACAAAGGCAAAAAAGTTATTGTTATCAGACTTTTCAAAGTCAAAGCAAGAGCTACAGTCGAGTAACATTTAAAAAACCCTTAATAAAAGAAAGTGTGAACGAAGGATTTTCTATCCAGCCAAAACTATCTTCCAAGTAAACGATTTTAAACATCAAGAACCTGGGGGGTTCTAAAGCCGTGAGTCTGTCTTGGGGAATCTGCGGGAGAATGAGTTTCATCGAGCCAGGAGATGACAGATGACTTCAGCAAAGGGACTGAGGGTGAGTGTGTGTGAGCCCAGGAGAAACAAATGTGGGCATGAGAGTGGATGACTGGGGTGCAAATTTTTACCTAGTAGAAATCGGCAACCGAAAAAATGGGAGAGGAAGATAGAATAATCTCACTGGTGGATACACGGGCAGCGGATGAGAGTTGAACAAACAATCCCAGTAAAAGTAGAAAAACCAAGTAGTAAAAGCTGAAATAATAAAACAAGGGACCAGGGCATTCAAACGGGTTAGAAATTACTAACAACCAGAACAAAATTACCACCTTTTCTAAATCAAATAAAAAAGCCCCTAAAGATCATAGAATACACATGCCTTAGAAAAAGAGACATAGCAAATATGACAAAGTACACGCAATTACAAGATGCTGTGACAAAGTCGAGGGAACTCAAAGCTGAGATTCGACACGTCTGTCATATCAACAAATCTGGATGCACGTAACTCACCTATGAAAAGAAAGATATTCTCAAGTGCGATGACACATCGAGACCGAAACCGATGGATTCTGAAATGTTAAAATAACCGAATGGACAGGTGCAGACTGGGCAAATGGGGAGAAAATAAGGAAGCAGAAGCAGCGAGCCTGGTGACAGACCAAGTGGCATTCAAGCCCTCAAAGCATTGCACGTGACAAGGCGGGGCACTTTTTAGTGCTAAAAGTCACAATTCATGGAGAAGGTATAACACTTGTGAATAGAGACACGCCACAGAATATGGCAACCACCGTCACGCAGGTAGGAAGAGGCCTAGATGTGAACACAGTAATAACAGGGGACTTTAACACGCCGCTCTCTCCGCGCAAGACGACGAAGTGGACGCAAATTAAGTAAGAACGTAGAAAACCTAGACACAAACGAGCAGGGACATCTCGCACATGTATGTAAAACTCTGCACCTGATAATGGAAAACAAACTTCTTTTCAAGTGCCCACAGAACATTCTCGAAAATGGCTTACAAGATCAGTACATCTCATAAAGCAGAAATGTTCCAGATGACATTCAAGAAAGCTAGAAATTACTAACAAAAACAGAAGAGCCCTTCCACCTGGAAGTTAGAAATCTTTCTGGAAACAAATCTTGGGTCCTGGGGGCTTGTATGAGGTCTCTTCTGGTGGCTTCTGACTTTTCAGTGGGGTGGAAGCAAGGCCCACAGCTGAGCGTGGGGAGAAGGCCGGGGGCGTTGGGGAAATGCAGCTGGTTGCCGGGCAACGCCGAGGGCTGGGGACGTGTGTGCTTGGAAATTGAAAATGCAGTGATGTGCTTTTCCCGCCGCAAAGCTGTACAGGTGCAGGTGTGAAGTGGGTGGAACCAGGTTTAACCAGAGTTGGGTTTGGCCGGCTGAGTATGACAGAGGGGACAGAGACTTGGGGTGTGTTTAGAGAGTGACTGTAACTTTGGAAGATGGAATCTGTGCTAGTAAGAGGGGAGATGAGGACAGGTAAGGGACCCCGAGAAGGTGAGTGGGAAAGACAGGTAAGGGACCCCGAGAAGGTGAGTGGGAAAGACAGGTAAGGGACCCCGAGAAGGTGGGTGGGAAGACTGTAGGTTATGAAGGACAGAGCCTTGTTGGGGCGCCAGAGAGAGTAAGCTGTGAAGGTGGGAGGTGTTCAGGAGTGGGAGGGGTGCTTGGAACTGGAGATGCCCCAGCTGAGCAGGTGCCTGGGGGAGCGGGCGGCTGAGGGAGGACGAAGGACGGGATCGATGGGAGAGAGGTCATCCAGGCGTGAGGGGAACAGTGACGTCCCCGAGATCAAGATCGGGGAGTGAGGCTTCACCTCGAAGGACTGAGGGATTACCTAGGGCAGGGGTGTGGTGAATGGGTGGCACGTGGTGCAGAGGACCTGGATTCGGAGCTGAGTTTTAGGGATAAGGAGGTCCCTAGTCTAGCTCTAGACTTGGGTCTGCGGGCTGTGGGGAAAGCCAGCCCCACCTAAGAGCGCTGAGGTGGACGCTGCGGGGAGCAGGAGGAAGGGGGGTCCTTGGAGGAGCAGAACGATGGCGAGGCTCTGGCGTGGGCTGGGGAATTCCCAGGGCACCCAGGGTCCTGGGCCCCCTCTCCGTCCGGTGGTGGCTGCCTGAGGCTGGGCAGGCCTGTTTCATGTGGAACGCCGAGAGGATGAAAGGTGAGTGGTGCCACCCAGGGCTCGCCCCAGGAGTGAGCAGGTTTGTGGGCTCCCGCCCTGCGCCCGGCCCTGAGGGTGTTCCCATGGGCTGAGAGTGGACAGGCAGGAGGGCAGATCTGGGGGTGCAGGCCATGCCCCTGCCTGGGGGAGGGCAGAAGGCAGGCAGGGGGCGGTGAGGGAGGGTGAGGCTGGGCACCTGTCCAGGGGTATGGAGAAGTCCAGGAAGGCGGCCACCAGCTGGGGGGTGTGGTGCCGGGCCAGCACGGTGATGGCACGCAGGGCATTTTCCTTGGCTCTGGGGCTGGGAAGGGAGCACAGCTGCAGGTGGATGGCACGGCCCAGGTCGACGACCTGTGCGGGGTGGGGAGAGAGGGCCAGTCTGGGTGGGGAGGCCAGGCCCCGCCCTGCTGAGCCTAAAGCGGGGGTCCTGCCCTGGTGAGCCTGGCGCCCCTTCAGATATGGTCCTCTCCTGAGCGGGAGGCACGTCCTTGCTCTGGGGGGGTCTGGAAGGGGAGACACAGGCCTGCCCGGGGGAGGGGGGCGCCTCGCTGTCCTGCACGCCTGGTCGGAAGGGGAGTCCCAGTCTGGGAGGGAGGCAGTCCCGCCACCTTTGGCATGGCGTTTGAGGTCCTCGGACTCAGTGAATGGTGCCCGGTCACTGGGAGGGTCAGACGCACCCACTTCACCGTGCCCTGAACGTACCACTGGGCACGTGCTGGTCCCCGTGCCTGGGCCGCCCCTCCCCCTTCTGCTCCCTTCTGATCAATATGTTTGCCCCGCGACTCTGCAAACACTGTCCGGGGCCCTAGTGCACCTGCTCGAGCCAGTCCCCCATTCATTCGCCCCCTCCTCCATTTCTGCACTGGAATCTGTTGGGGGGGGTCTGTGTCTCCCCCACCAGGCTCAGGCTCGGGGACATTGCCTTGGCCCAGGGGCCGTAGCCCTTGCGTGCTGACCGCTGGGCCCTCCCTCTGCCCTTCGCCCCGTCCTGGCCGACCCTCCGCGGGTTCCCAGCTCCCTCACAGTCTCCAGCTTGGCCCCGTGCTCCTGGATGATAGTGAGCAGCAGGTCGGCAGCTGCCTGCCCGTGGCAGGGGCCGGTGGAGCCCAGGCTGTTGACGGTCGTCCAGACGAGGTCTGTCAGCTCTTCCAGTGTGAGATGCTTCATGATCTCCTGTAGCAGTGGGAGTGGAGGCGGCGTCACCTCCAGTCCCCTGGGCCCTGGCGCCTGCCTCCCACCGTTGCTCTTGCCTTTGCTCCGGGAGCCCCAAGTCTCTGAGCACTCCCACGCTCCTGAGCCTCACTCCTCCATGCCCCCCAACATGTGCGCCCCATTTTACAGTTTGATCACCTGCACATCTCTCTAAGCCGGCCAAAGCCCAGGGGGCAGGAAGGGAGGGTGTGATGCCCGTCGTAGGACGGAGACGCAGCTCCCTCCCTCACTCAGACTCCAGCGCTTGCCCTGGGACCCACGTGGCCGGGCCAGCCTCCTCTCCTCCCCTCCTCTGTCCCGTCCACACCTCACGGCCTTCCTCATCTGCTAGCCTCAGCCCAGCAGGGTGCTCCCCACACCGGGCCCCAGTCCTCCACCTTCCAGCGTTTTAATTAAGAACAACCGGACTTCAGAGCTGTGAAGGTCCTTCAGGGTCAGTGGACTAACCAAGCGTAGGCTGGGCCCGGGACCTGGAGCTCGTGTCCCATGGCAGTACGTCCCCGGGAGCCTGCCTCTGCTCTGTGCCACATTCTCCCAGGAGCAGCTCCGATAGTTCAGGGAGGCGGCTGTCTCCTTCAACACCAGGACATGTGCTACTTGGGGCAATGAAGACGCTCTCAGGGAAATGCAAGATGGTGGGTGGGGTTCCTGCCCCACCCACAGTCTCTGCGAGTGAGGGCTGGGCCAGCCCGGATGCCCAGGCGGAACCTTCCGGAAAGACTCAGCACATCGTTGACCGGTACGGTAGCCACCAGACACACGTCGCTATTTAAACTTAACTTATTCAAGTAAAATTCAAAATTTGGTTCCTCAGTTGCACCAGCCACATTTCAAGTGCTCATGGCCACATGTGGCCAGTGGCTGCCTTGGATGGTACATACATAGACATTTCCATCCTCCCAGAAAGTTCTAGTGGAAGGCTCTGACTTGGAGCATCTCATAATCAGAGGAAGGTAGAATGCTGGTGACAGAGCGATAGTTGGGAAGCCCGAGAGAAAATTATAATGTTTGCGAGGATATTAAGGACGGGAAAATGTTTCTTCGCATGTTACGATATTTGTCGAACTGTTTGAAAATCCTGTTAGGATGTTTGTATGTATATTAAATATAAAAATAACTGCTAAATAATGGATGTTATCTATTAGAATATTATTGTTCTATAGTTTTGGTAAAATTTTTGTGAGACTGTTAGGTTATTAATTGTTAGAATGTTAAAATAATTTCAATGGAATATTTGTGGTTTACAATAACTTTTAAAAAAGAATTTAGGTGATTACAAATCTGGTTAGAACATTTGTTACAAGATTACATTTAGCTTGTTTTCTAAAATGTTAAATTTTGGT